CCCCTTGTCCCATATGTAACACCCCAAAACAACAATTCGACGCTCAGTCCACACACTTCGAACCCACGATACCAACTTTTAAGAGCGACTTGAGAGTCGACCGATACAACTTATCAAAAGAGTTAATGTACGTATTAAAGGGTACAGTAATATAATTAAGGCTTTTTGGCCCTGCTGCAAAACCTCAGTGTTTTTTTTTTTTTGCTTGTTTCGTTATCTTTGATACGCAAATTAGCTATTTAGTACGTTATATCAAACAGTTATCGAGCCGCTCGCAAATTTGGTATCCCCAGTTCTACATCAGTGGACTGAACGTCCAAATGTAGTTTTGGGGAGTTACATATGGGACAAGGGGTGCACTCCTGCACACCCCTTATTTCTAAGAGTGTATAGCATCCGCACTGCAAAAGAGTGCACGAGCGAAATTTTGATACGCAGAGTACGAAAGGCACTAATCTTGCGCATATGGTTCTCTGTTGTGATAGCTATTTTGATATCGGTATTTAGTTTCGAAAACATTCATGCCATATTTCGTAAACATGTCACCTGTTTGGAGAATTTGGAGGGCGCGCAGGCAACAGCGACATTAAGTCGTTCCTCCTTAGCCACAATAATCGAATCCAATTCAATCTTTGTGTACGTAAAACGTACCCGGAGCCGTGTCTCCTATCCGCACGTGGTCCGTACAAACGCTTTCGTGTCGAACACTCAATCCGACTCATCTTTGTTTTTAATGTTCACTGGCTATGATCGCGGGTTCTCTTCGCCACATCGCTTCCAGACGCCATTTAATCCCTTCAGTATATAGTATTCAGTAGTAGCAAGCAGACGGAGCCGCCGTGAGAGCTCGATAAGAGGACGAAACACTCGGCCTCCGCATGACGCGTTTGCTGATACGTACGACCGAGCAAACACCATGTGGTCTTTAACAGGCTGGCTGATTAAACCCGGCGGCGTGTAGCATTGGGCTTTAGTCCATCGTAGGATGAGACGGAGTATAATGAGCGCTTGGCTGGACTCCACCCCTTTTAAGGCACTCTTGCTTCAGACAGATTCCTGTCAAATTTTCACGTTCAAGCTCATTTAGTGGGTCTGATCACTAGTTGTCTGCTGTACTGAAAATGGCGTGCACGGGAGCGAGCAGGTTTAGGTAGAGCTTTGGTTGTTCGAGGAAACGGTAGAAAAAGGACCCGATCTTAAATTAATTTATATCATAAGGTGTGTACGTAAAAGTTCGTCTTTCTCCAAAGAAGGCTCGCTCAAGGTCACAGTCTGTATATTTTCGACGCCACTGTGCAGTGTATGAAGCTCACCCAGAAGAGGGCGTAATTTTGATTAGGGCTATAGTTTTAAACTTTTGGCACCTTGACATCTCGGGAAAGTTCAAAACGAAGGCCTCTTCTCTCGCCCTCACTCAAAGTGTCCGCATGCGTTATGAGAAGTATGTAGCAGTGCCCAAAAGCAGCGTATTTTAAATATATTTCTGCATCGCCGAACGAAAATTCCGCGCATGAAAATATCGCGTTTCAAAAATACAAAAACCACCTTGAATATAAGCCTACATCCTTCCAAACTCACATACATTCGATCTATATGACGAACTCCTTCGGCGGAACTCTGAATTGGCCCCTCTGTCTTAATAATTCTATACAACCAGTCAAATAAGCACTTCCTATTACTCTGAACAGTTTCCTAAAGATTATTTTGCAATTTTTTTCCGTCACAGTCAAAGATTTGCGCAACGAGTCAAATTGAAGTAATCTAATGCATTTGTAATAAACAATTTACTTTGAATTATGTGCTATGTTGAGCTTCAATGATGATGATATGTATAATTTGATGTTACATATGTGAAACTAAAAGGGAGCAAAAGGTTCCGTCAATACGTTAAACAGGCTTTGCTTTTTTTGCCCTTTTTTCCGCTATTTGTTTGCCAGAATAACTTGTCTTTTATTTCTTCAAATAAACGTAAAAAGAAAACAATTTAAAAAGGAGTGCAGGTGAACTGTTGGACGCTCACCAGGATGTAAGCAACCCTGTCACCGGGGCACGAGAAAATAAAGTTTTAGTTGTGGAATCAACAGAAAAAAAAAAAAGTGAAACAGTCTTAGGTGAAACCTGACACTTGTTTGTTATCCCTACAAACCAAAAGAAAAAGTAAAAACTTTGCCTTTCCCCAGGTGAGGCTCGAACTCACAACCCCGGCATAGCTCACAAGCACTGACCTATAAGTACCGTGCGCTAACCAATTGCGCCACTGGGGAGGACAGCGGCAGCGGGGCTTTATCGCCGAGTTCCAGCCGCGAACAAATTAGCGCTATGACGTCATCAGATTTTTTTTTTTCGTTTCTTTCAGATAAATAGGCAACAGCTGCGGTTGCTGTGGCTGAGCAAAGGGCACGTTTATTTTCCCCCAGCTCTTTATGTCGTTGACGCATTCTACGATGAGCTTCGCTTTGTTGACAGGTATCTCGACGAACATTTTCGAATTCCAGACATTTCGATTCGGGTTCTTCTCTCAAGGTACCAGAATCCTCGTTAAACAAAAAAACCAACGAGGAGCAAAAAATAAAAACTCAAATACCTGAATATAATTTGGATAATAACAGCCCGTAGTAGTCATAAATAACTTTATTTTCCATTATGATACATGAATAACGGAGGCAAAGAAAACAAAAAAATAAAAGCTGTATAACAGCTTGACGGAGCCCCTTGCTCTCTAGTAGTTTAATGTAATACCTACAGCGATAAATTACACGCCGCAACAGCACATTCAACATAGTCCACAATTCAAAATAAACCGCGATTTGCGAATTTATTTATTTTTATTTAACTCATCGGGCAAATCTTTCATTGTGATTCGAATGAAAAAAGGTCGATGCTATTGTTTAGGAGAGCACTAAGCGTAGTAGAAGGTGTGTATTAGCGGCGCAATTCAAAGTTCCGTCGAACGACACGGATAAGAAATATATGCTCTCTCAGGTCAGCAAGATTAACCAATTTTGTTACTAACTAAAAACGGACCATCGGTCTGTATACTTCTACGATCTTATAAGTAGTTAAAACGGTCGCATAAGGCTAAACTGAATTTTTTCTTACATTTTATTTTTATAGAAGTTGGCAATTAATTACTCGCTAAATGTGCCCTGTTAGTGTTTTCGTACGTAAAGTCGTAGACACGTTGCTAATATAATTACTACAAAAATTCTACATTTCGCTCACTCAGAGTTGAAGAAGCGCACGACATGCTTTTCTATGTTCACGCTTTTTGATTCGAAATTGACCTTTCAGCGTTATATCGGCTAGGGAAACCATGTTTTTGGTTTCCTCTTCACGTTGCGAGGCGTATGACCTGTTTGGAGCTCTAAATGAACATGTCGATAATGAGATCTGTGTTTGTTTCTCATTTTGTGGCCTAAATATATCGGCATTTTTTTCTCCTATATTATGATTAAACTTAACTCATATCCAGAGTAATGTGAGAGTAACAGGATTGCTCCATCGGAAGAGCCTATCAGAGCCTCGAAGCCAAGTACGTCACACTGCTTTACAGGTGCGCGCTCCGACTTCGGACTGGTTCCGGTGGACGAAACCGGTCGAAAGCTCACCCGAGGTGGGCGAATTTTTTGTCCTGTGAGCTTTCAAGTTCGTTGAGTTTTTATGCCCCGCGACATCAGTTCGGGGAGCTTATGTTGGGTGAGCTTACGTTCGATGAGCTTACTTCCGGTGAGCTTAAGTTTAATGAGCTTACTTGCGGTGAACGTACTTTCGGTGAGCGTATGTCCGGTGAGCTTTTATCCAAAAATGACGCGAACAAACGGCCAACTTTGCTCACTGACACGCAAAAAAAAAAAAAAAAACTGTTGGAGAGCCAGAGGAAGTACTAGCAGCCGGTAATTATCGCAAGAAGCGTTTCAGTTGTATTAATGATGGTTGTGACCAGCATCTTCGCGGGCGCTTGTCGCGTAAATGCGAGGTAGGGAGGTGGCCGGTCCGTAAAATTCAAAAGCGGTCATGGGCCGTTTTCTTTTTTTTTTTATCGTAAGACAATGCTAATAATAAATAATGTAATCATGTTATAACTCTCCAGGTCCTGCCACAGTTGCGCTCCGCCCGATAAACACTGGGTGACGACGACCACAAAGGCATGGCAGGTTGGACTCTCCGACATGTCTCTCCACTCGTCACGGAAGGTCAGCGACTGAGTAGAAACAACCGCAAAAAGATATTGGCCAAAGCCCTAAGTTTGCTTCAGTAGAAATCGCTATTTATTCCACGTCCAAACCTAGAAGACATATATATGAAATTGTGGCTCCTGCGTCCCGATCGACTAAGACCGGTTTCAAAGCTCACCCTCCAATGGACTGCCTTCAAAGCTGCGAGCCACCAGGCCCGACCAGGAGCCAGTTGGAAAACACGGGACATATACAGCTCTGGCATGCGTATCAGAGTGGTAAGAAGCACGCACTGATACCCGTGTCGGGGTCATCTCCCGCGAGGTTTCGAACTGGCTCCTCGTTGGACCAGCCAGCCCGTAGCTTTGCCTCTATGTATACCGCTCGATGGGGGATTATCAACCTTTTGCGTCTTTCGCACTATCGCACAGCACACGCAGGGACTATTTCGTAACGCCTTATCTCTGTCTATGTCAAACAAGGATAACCGATGTGAGCACGGGACCGCGATCAGTAATGTACACTTTTTCAATAATCTCGAAATGCCGCGTGCGAAGTCCGCCACAAACCGGGGAAAAGTCCTGTACGCAGCACGTGACACCGAGTAGAGACGAGGAGGGGGAAGGGGGGGGGGGGGGGGGGGGGGCGTAGTTGCTCGCATCAGTGTCCTCCGTCGCCCCCAAGGTCGCCCCCGGCGTCTGCTATAGCCGGTTCTGTGTACAGGTTGTTCCCGGCATTCCTATCGGCGCAGCGGGTAGCTCAGCAAGCTTTGCAAAAAGAGGTTCAAGCCCGGATGACGTTTTTCTTTGTTCTTGCGAAAGCTGTTTAAGGTAAGGGCGCGGTAAAGGCCTTGAAATTTGTAACAGGGTACGTCTGCGTGGTTTTAAACCTAGGATACTGTTTGGCTTTGCTCTTCTTGGAGGCGCTCAATAGGCGACCCGGGTTGAAACCGTAGTTGTACTTTCTGTTTAACGCGTAGTAGAATGCCCAGAAGTGCGAGGGTCTCTTAATCAGCACGCCGGCCCCTGGCCAGCCAAGTTCTTCCTCCGACGCCGGTCGGTTGGCGTACAGCGCCTTCAACGGTGGGAAGGAGACGAATGCGAAGAAGTACTCCACGTCCAGAGATGTCGCCCTCAGCGAGGCATCGGGATGTTGGGTTTGCATCAGCTCGTAGGCCACCCGGCAAAACTGGAAAAAGAGGCGGAGACACCATTTCAATGAGAATACATTCTTCTCCGCTCATTTACGGTAGATGGCGCACCTATCCGCACAAAAGTAAAGCCCCTGTATACGGAAAAGTAGCGACATCCTTTGAAGAATGCCACTTGCTATCTTGGAGCGATCCAGGCGGCGCTGCCATCGACGCGCAAGCGCGAAAGAGCAAAATATAACAATAAGAGTGTGCTCGAGGGACAAGGAGGGAGAAAGAATGCCTGTGCTGTCAGAGTGCAGTGCAAGCTACGAGCTCATGTTGCCAATCAAATAACGCCTACTGTGCCACGTCACGGCTTTCACCGTGTTTCTTCGAGTACATTCTTCGAGGCTGGTAAATCGTGACAGTGCGTTTTTGAGCCTGTGTGTATGTATTTTGCGTGTCTTTCAGCCTTTGACTGTGCTCTGATTCAAGTATAGGAAGGCCGTCTGATATCTTGGAGCGATGCAGGCGGCGCTACAATCGACGCGTGGGTGTAAAAGAGCAAAACACAAAGATAAAAGGTGTGCGCGTCAGAGGAGGAGAAAAAAGATGTCGCTACCTTTCTTATTCAGGGACATTACACAAAATCCTCCCCTATCGGCGTGGACAGAGCGCGTCTGATGGTACGTTAACACTTGCGGATCCGCCAGCGAATTCGCCCAGCGTTTGCCGCTGGGGCGAAACGCTGGGCAGAAAACGCGGCGGCGAGACACGAACTCAACTCTCCTACGTCACACCGCGGTGGTGGCGCGTCGGACGCACTTCCGGTCTGGGGTGGTGGGCAGAAGTCGCCATGCGAGACATGCATTCTTGGTCTTTTCGGAGAAACCAGACAAAAAGCTGCGTTCTCGTCAAAATGTTCTGACGGGGGCTGTACAGCCTGTACCAAAAGAGTCTGGAAAGGTTTGAAGATCAGCTTTCACGTGTTTCTGCCCGCTCCGTTCGTCCGAGTAGGAGGATAGTAGCCGTGAAAAGGGTAAACCAGACGCTGTCGAACTACGATTGCTTGTGCGGGCAACACTTTTTGGTCGCCAGATGTATTTGTTTTGTTCCAACATGGACGAGAGAAAACCGCCAAGTTGTCCGGGCCACCCGCGGGTTCAGTGCGTCTTCAAATTCACTCGGCCGCCTGATCGTTCGAACTTTCGTCTGCTCTTTCAAACTTGTCTGCTTCTTGTCGCCTGCTCGTTCAAACAAAAGCGGCGCGTAGACCAAACTTTGACCCGGTGATTGCAATAAGAAGTAATGGCAGGCCTCAAACGACTTAAGTAGGCTCGGTATAAACAGTACATCAGTGTTGCGGAATGGGCACCCCCATTCCATTCCAATTCCATTCCGGGGAATTAGAGTTTTCGATAATTCAATTCCTTTCAATTCCTAGGAATGGAGACACTGAGCCCATTCCCACTCCTGGAATGGCTAAATCGTTCCATTCAATTCCTTTAATTCCTAAACGTAAAATTGGCAATTGACAGCTACATTTTGTTGCCGGCATAAGCAGCATAAAGCTGACATTATCAAATGCAGAAACAATTGGAAAAAAAGGAAAAAAAAGCTAAATTCCTCAAAAAAGCACTGATTTCTACTAAGCGGACCGCTGGTGGCAGAAAGTGTTTATTTACGATGTACTGCAAACATCGAGAAAGCCCTTTGATATGTCAATGCTTCGGTCTCGCGACCACGTCGCTCGCAACAAAGAGCAACACTTAAATCCACTCATTTTCTTTTCTTTTTTAAACTTTTTTTGCATTTGACTTTTAAGACATACGCGGCCAGCGTGTTTGTTTGATAAGACTATAAAAATATCCAGTTCGTGCGTGGCGCAGGAATAAGCTATATTACTGTATTCTTCAAATACAGTAACACGGCTAGTACACTGCTGGAAGCGACTCCATGCACAGCGGCAGAACACATCCTCTGACAAAATGCAACCTCTGTGGCGCAGCACGAGGGACCGTATAGACCATGTCACGAAACATGTTTTAAAACGCATAAGGTCACGCTTGCTTTACGAATCTCGATATTTCTTATCATATTCAATTTTTGGCTGGTTCGCCTGCCCTCTTCCACCCTTCGCATACTCATTCTCGTGTTTCCTCTTCAGACGGCGAATAAAGTTCGATGATATACGCCGACTGCACCGTGTATAGTTTCGTTTTTATTTTTTTATTTATTTATTTAGGAATACTGCAGGCCAATTGCGGCCCAAGCAGGATTTGGGGTTACAAAAGTGGAGTCAAAAGAGCGCAACACCAGGTAATCCGTAAAATGGGAGAGGGGAACAAAATAAACAAGCTGCACAACTTTCAGCGTGCAGCTTGTTTATTTTCGTCGCGGCTAATGTGGAAAAATGTCTTCTACGATGCCATGACTCGATCTGTATTTATCTTGTCTCCTCGTCCGAATTGTGATGTTCCTCTTCGCGCTGATCGAGTGGCGGGTTCAGGCAGCAGACGGTACCAACCGATTCATTCTTCTACCTCGGTGTCGGTTGTTCGCGTAGTGGCGACGGGTCGGGAAGTCAGCGTTAACAAAGCTCTTCACATCAAGATACAATTAACGGGGTAATACCGCACCGTTCGAATTGACATTCCCCGTGTTTCCTCATTAACACCGTCCAACTGACTTCTCACCGCCTCAAACCGGGTCCAGGACAAGGAGCACGAATGCAGACCGGACAGCCGAGACGCGCGGAAGCCAAAATCTCAGCAGCAGCCAGCACCCAGCTCTCCTTCTCAGTTGCCCTCACAGCAACGGTCGCACCTCGTCTGGAGCGGGACGGCCTTTCTTTCTCTCTTTCTTTCTTCCTTTTATTTCCTTTCTTTCCGGATTGACCGGGAGGTGGGCAGAGACTAAAGGCGTGATGCCTGACGAGGTCTCTGTCCCCTTTACAGTTCTAACACAGCAGTGCAGGGTACATAGATTTTTGAAGACGAAAATTTGAGAAAAGAACCTATAAAATTCTATACACCTCAGAAACAATAAACAACAGGATCGATCAATTATCCCACGATAATTTTTTTCAGCAAAGGAGGATAAAAACAAAATTGGTCAGAAACATGTTTTAACAATTCAAAAGTGAAGTATGGACATGATTTCATAAGTACACAGTACACACATATCAGAACACAATGTCACTGCCCACCAAAAGTGTCTTTAGTCTTTTTTTTAATTGAAGTATATTGCAGTTAAAATCTATTAGATCTGCAGGTCTAGTCAGTTCGGTCACACCAAGAGCGGCGACGATAGTCTACTTCACCTTACGATGAACCTCAACAGACAGCACGAGAGCCATCGAAATCAATCCAGTGCTTCCTGAGTGCTGCGTCACCCTGCAGTCCCGCTCACGGTACTGGATTGCCTAGGGTGACTCGTAGCGTCCGCAGCGGTCCATCGCAAGGTGAAACGAAGTATGCAGAGACTAAAGTCAAGAGAAATGAGTGGGAATCCGCTAGCTTACTTGAAACCCCAACCCACTAAAACAGAAAACACAGAAAACAAGCATCGGAACAAAGACCAAGTAATAGGCGGACATACAATACAAATGCAGTACAAAAAAACAAGCCTCGGAGCAAAGCGCAAGACGAGAAGGGGGAAGTGAATCTCGCTTTGTTTTAATGCCGAAGCAAACCCAGATTTCGCACTTCAAATGAGTGCGCACGAATGAACGTGGAAGGCAGCAGGGTTGGCTGCCTGCTAAACAACGTGCCTCGAACTATAAGAAAACAATACCTGATCATCTTTCGACGGCACCCAAGTCAACGAGTTATCAGAGCTCTGCGAGTTATAAGTCGCTTTCGCTCCCAGATCTCAGTCTGTGCGCGCGCGCGCATTCTACAAACCGTCGCAACAAAAAAAAAAAAGCATGACAAAAAGAACGGTGAGGAGTTGTGCATGGCGGTTTCTTTCTTCGCCGCTCCCTTTTCGTTTGCTTGGTGCTTGGTTTCTTGTTTCGCTCTCGTGTAACGCCATCGAAGCCCGACGCCTGCGCGTCCGTGAAAGGCGCCACGTTACCCCCCTTTCCCCCTTTGCTCTTTGCTTTGACGCTTGTTTTTTGTATTGCATTTTGTTGGCGTATAAGTCTGTTAGGGCTCCTCGCGGGCTAGCAGTTTCCCGCTCATTTTATTTCTGAGCAACTGACTCACTGACTGGCTCGGTTTAGCTGACCGTAAACACTAAAAAAAAAAGAAGAACCGTGCCCATTCCATTCCCATTCCATTCCAGGCAAAAGGCACCTAATTCCATTCCCATTCCATTCCCTTCAACGTTGCCGCCATTCTATTCCCATTCCATTCCTTGGTCGTGAAAATGCGGAATGATTCCGGAATCATTCCAACTCCGGAGTGGCAACTCCGCAACACTGCAGTACATACAAGATGTTGATCATTGGTACCCGTGGCCATCACCGACTTGTTACGCTTGGTCTGTTTCCGCTTCCGAATTTCAGTATCGACGTCGACCATCGCCGCTACCTTCTACACTTTTGCAGCACGAGTGACGTCGCGACCGAAAATATCTAGAAGAATCTCATCGTGGTTTTGGCGTCCATTCTGTGGCGTTCACGCGAATGAATCGCCGCACGACAAATTATTTACGCAAAGCTTAGCGGTGTAAAGCTTTGATAGTTTCACTCAGGCGATTAAAGTGGTCAGACATTGCTATGAGGACGTAGAATCGGCAATCCCAACGCGAAAAAGAGTATGCAGACTCACACAGACGCCGACAACGTGACATTCCAATGGTTTGTGAACGCGGGACGCGCTGCTTCTTGCCCGCACTCCATTTCGCATGCGTTCGAACTGCCGTCTGCTCTTTCAAACTTGTCTGCTCTTTGTCGTCAGCGCGTTCAAACGATATCGGCCCGTAAACCAAACCTTGACTCGGTAATTACAATAAGAACTAAGTGCAGGCCTCAAAACACTTTTGAAGGTTGGTTGGGAAGTAGGCTAAGCGTAAACAGTTGATACAAGAAGATGATGATTATTGTTACCAGTGGCCATCACCGACTTGTAATGCCCGATTCTACTTGCGGTTTTCAGTATCGACGTCCATTATCTCAGCAACGGTCCACGCTTTTGCAGCCCGAGCGACGTCGCGACTGAAAATAGCGAGCAGAATCTCATCGTGGGAGTCAGTATTTAGCGCCCATTCTGCAGCGTCCACGTGAAATGAATCGCCGCAAGTCACATTATTCACGTAAAGTTTTGCCTCGTCATGAGTACGCGTTCTTCTGGGAGCAGCAACGTCCGGGAGAGACAGCCGAGGTGGGAAGTCTCGCGGCTTCTCGTCATATTTGACGGGATGTTAGGAGAACAGCTGCCGCAGCCGGCGCCGCCGCCGCCGCTCAAAGGAAATAGATGTGGACGCAACCCGCTCGTCGCCGCTGCCGCCGGGGGCGGATCCGCTCCCGCGGGAGCGGATTTCTTCTGAAGTGTAAACGTACCATGAGAGAGCACAGGCGCGTCACGCTGTCCTTCTAGAGATCTACTTAAAAGTGAGGCAATAAAGTTCCCGTGCAACAGAACAGCGTGACTATGATATAGGATAGATGCACCCAGCTGCATGCCGGCCTGTTACATGAATGAAATATTGCATTTTATACTGCGTTTCTCCAAAGTAAGTCCGAGCAAAGTCGACGCTGCAATCCCATGGAGCCAATGGAGCAGATTAAAAAGCTCATCGTCAGGGCGCTCGTCGCTTTTGTCGCCGTAATCCAGCGCTTTTTCAGTGCTTGATTTGTTTATCATCTGATAGAAAACTCACGAAGACCATAGACTAATACATAATGTAACCTTAAAGAGTGACCAATGCCATAGGCCACAGCGGCTCATCCGACTGTCCGCGCACATGTTGTGAAGCTGGTCTCGTCTTCCAGTTTAAGCACTTCCGTTCCCTACATGGCTGGAGACATAGATGGCTGCTATCTAATGGAGAGGATGATTATTATTGATTCCTTTCGTATTAAACAGCAGATAGCTTGCGCCACCTAGTCTGCCATGACTAACAATAATTTTTAATTGAGGTAGGAATCGATGTGCTTAATAATGGCGAATTCAGTTGGTCAATCAGCGGCGAGCCCCTGCTGGCGGCACCAGCGAGCAGATACGCACCAGATGTGCACCACGTTACACCCTCCACCCCGAACACAGAGCGCCGGCAACTGGCGTTTTCTAAAGGCCGACGTACACTTCTCGCTTTCTACTTTTGCCCTCCTCCTCCTTTCCTATGTCCTGTCCACTTTTTACCTTGCCCCAACTGGGCTCCCCTCGGAGCTTAGGAGAAGGGATGCTGAACCGAAATCTGGATCGCCCAAAACACGCGGCAAAAGCGTGCAACGGGATGCTACAAACACCAAAACATCACTCATACTGCGATATCTCGAACGGATGACCGTATTTTTTTTAAAAAAGGAGGCGCATTTGGTAGGGATATTGACGTCATGTTCCTCCGAGAAGGAGAGGGAATGGCCTCGCGTCTTCTCTGCGTCGCCGCTTTGAGGGAGCGAAGCGAAGAGAGGAGGAAACTAGGTATCTTTACGGCACGCGCCTCGTCGGCCTGGTTCAACCTCGACCTCTTTTTCCAAAAATACGGCCTTCCATTTAAGATATCGCCTTACGAGTAGTGTTGTACGGATCGTAGCGTCCCGCTTACATCTCCAGCATAAATCAATCGAGCTTCCTTGATTGATTTATGGTATAATAAGCACGCTGTATATACGACGACGACTCTCTGAGATGTCTGTAAACACAATCGGATTCACAATAGTTTTCGAAGTATTAACATTACTACAGTTCGCATGGCTTACAGGATCTTAAATTGCAAATTCAATAAACTGGCAGATTCATAAATCGGTGAAGTGCTGCCCACACAAGCGTCAAAATGCAGTATATTTTGTTTGGATTTCCGATGAACTGTTGTCATCTTAAAAGGATCCCAAAAGAGGCTTGCCAGCGTCGCTTTTCATAATCTCTTTTATTATTATTATTACCTTCTTTTGGGACCCTCCATCTTCTCATGGTGCCCACCTGTCTTGAAATTGTAATGCATGTTCAAGTGACAAGCTGCATCACTATCTATACTTCGTTTTTATTTTATTTTTAAGAGTGGTGTAATAGCGTGTTACTACCCCGCTGTAAAAAGAAATAAAGTATAGATTGTGATGTAGCCCGTTCTCAGAGCAAACTGACCTTGCGCAGGCTGGACAAATTATATATATAAAAAAAAAACAGTTTGGCTTCCTTTAAAGGATTATCTTTACCTTTGTTGTTTTTGCTACCTCGTCTCGAAGCAGAATAGAGCGTCTGTCTCGATGGCCCCATTTGCGACTCGAACCAGTTATTTTCCGCCATTTGGCAAGCGTTGTTCCGTTTGGCTCCTTTTCTCGATTCGAATGTTACGATACCCGATACAGCCTGGCAAGCAAGCTGCCCGACCTCTCGAAGCTCGGGCAAAAATTGTGCCGCTTGTGCCATTCGAACGCCCTTGCCGCACATATGGCAAAATATTTTGCCGGGAAATGACCACCTGAATTCGCCCTAAGCAATATGAAAACCACTTCACTCAACAGAAAAAAAGGTGGAATAATCAAACAAGAAAATTGGCTAATGCTCAAGTATTTATTTTGACCAAAAACAACCATGAAAACAACAAAAACTTTTCTGCACGCATCCGTGGAACTCTTAGTACTCCATTTCATCATAATCACAAGCAAACGAGGAGCTACGAGAGCGAGCACGACGCTTCAAATGAGCCTGTAATGCATGCACGGTCGTGAAGTTAACCCGTCCTCAACCACAACGCGCATTCGCGATGAGAAGCTCGCTAGGGGCGCTTCTGTTTCTCTCCCTTTGGATAGTGCACGTGCTACCCACGTGGTTATGTTTTTATCGTCATAGCGCATAGAAGCTTGGCATTGCACGTGCTTGCACCAGCAGAGGAAGTTGAAGTATCCCCACTCTGGGTTGTAAAAAAAATTCCACCAGCAGGCGATACCCAAACCTCTCGCCGCGGGTACTCTACAGCGGGTATTCGTTGGACGCCATATTTGAGGGCGATGTTTAGAGCAATGTTTAGAGGTGGGCTATTCAGTGGTGCATTGTAAGCATATAAATAAAACAGCATAAACGAGCACAATGACAAGTAAAAGAAGGGTGGCACATGATGGCACATGAGAGTGAAGATGTCCCTACATGTTCCATTCTTCTTCTTTTTATTTCTTTGTCTTTTTATGTAGATGTGTTCTAAGAAGACGAAAAAGAGAATACGTCGTGAGTTGATTTTTTCCAGCGCTGTGTTTACGGTGTTTTATTTATATGTTTACGATGTTTAGAGTCCATGCTCCGAACGAGCTCACATAATTAGCCTGCTAAGAGTGCCAATCTCGATGGTGCCGAATGCCCGTTGCAAAAGAACTGTGGTCGCTCGCCGTCAGCACGCGTTCAGCAGCCGCGCACAGAACTATGACCGTCAGGGAATACTCCCTACAGCGTCAGCTCGCTTGACTTTGTGGAAAACAGTAAAGAGCTTTACGGCGACGCAGCTGACGATCAAGGAGACGCTCAAAACACTTTTAACATGGTTGCGCTTTAACCGTCTTACCTACGCCACAAAGAAAGAACGTCATGAACTCCACACAATAACAGCAACTGCGGATGCGGTGGGGTGCGGGCCGTGTCCGCACCACAACTGGCTGCTGTTATGGCGTCTCGCCAAAGCCTCAGTCGCAGTCGTAATATTTTCGAAAAGTGTCGAGGCTACTAATAGGAGCATGTAAATTAAAGTAGAACTCTCTCCTCGTGGTACACGTATAACGAATGTATAAATAAGTAAGCACCACTGCCCCAGCTAGCGGGTACCCTAACAGCTGGGCCACGATAGGGTTTTAGTGGCCTCCCTTTACGTACCACGACATTACTCCATGCAAAGACGACGATAGCCATGACAATGCACTTTAGGGAGTCCATGACTATCTTCATTGGGCCGTATTGCGTCGGTTCCGGGCGGATTTGGGTGCCTCAACTAATTAAAGAATTATGCTACCGGTATTTAACGCAATTCTAACTTGGCAGCAATATTCAAATGAACGACCATGAGAGCAAGAGAAGCAATACGTATCGAACATGGTTCACTCACCCCAGAGGACATTGTGCAGACTATAAAGTCCGACTCGGCCAGCAGAGTGATGTCGAGCATTACACCGAAGAGCGCGGTGTTGTTCCGACTGGTGGTCCTGGCACGTGCCTGGCGGGAAACCACCTCGTTGTTGATCACCTTGTACTGAGGATATCTGTGGCACCAGAGGAGCATTTTGCATCATGTCGCTTGCTCGCGGTATTAGGGACGAGATTGAACCGTCGCGCTCCTAGTGGTCAAGTTCAGAACCTAACCCGCCAGATGACAACCACATAATTGATTTCTATGTAATTGGGACACAGCGCGAGACGCGGCGTCACATGACGTGATGCCACGGTGTCACGTGACTTGACGTCGCATTGTACCACGTCATGTGACGTCATGGTGTGAATTGACTCCCCAAAACGACTGTTTTGATATCTTGTGAACAAATTTAAATTGGCTCCTTAAATACAACACTCCATGTATCATATAGGACTTTGAAGATGAGAGGCTCTAGTAATCTCCCTCAATTCTATAATCCTGGCTGTCAACAGACCAATGTAGGCAGAAACTGAGAAAGAGGAAGAGGCGAGAGCGCGCGGGAAAGTGCGTAGGCGAGTTGGTGCAAGTTTATGATTTATCAGGTCTGTGGCGTCGTGGTTCCGTACATAAGGAAGGAGTTTTAATGAAATCATTTAGCTGGGTTAGAGATGTGTTTGTCCCTATTTATTTTTTTCTACAACTGTAAAAAAAAATGTTTCCTCCTTCTGCTCCAGTTTCGGGCTAAGGTCATAACAAACTTACCACTTGCAGCGATAATTATACCACATTACGGTTTAAACAAACCACTCATAGCTGTCCCGAGAAGTCATGCTATCCGCATTTTCGTCTCGTATTTTTTTTACAGCGAAGCTGTTTATGGCTAGGGTTCCGTGATTTTTCGTGTGCGTGACCAAAAACTCCACGCTCGCACCACCGCACGCGTCGCACGCGCACGCCTTTCCCGTACAAACATTTCGAAGTAAAGAACCAAAATAAAGCGTAGACAAACGCGCCTGCAAGATGCCCTTTGTTTAGGCTTTTGCTTTAGAACAGTAATTGCATGCAGACACCAGCTCGCGCGGCGCGTGGACACCATTCCCTGCATTCTCGTCGATGCTTGGCTAATTTAGCAATAGGTCTATTTCACTCCCCTACTCGTCGTAATCGGGAGGCAGCGTATAGTCCAGACTCCCGAAAAGCAACGCTCCTACAAAGAGCAACGGCGGGAACGGCACCGAGAAGGACAGCGGCAGCGGAGGGCGGCAAACACCACCGATGAAGATCGTGCCAGACAAGACGACGAACGTCACAAAGCAAAAAACGCATAAAAAACAATCCAGTGTCACGTCTGTGTTGTGTGCCAAACAGCTTCGTGGCCATCCCCTCTCAAAGGGTGGGATGGCTCATGATATTTTTTTTCTTCTGACCAATTATCAACGATAACAATAATCTCGCAAAGTAACATTACTGCGCGCCGTTAAACAATATCTCTATTTTAAGAACTGTTTATATTTAGCATTTTATCTAAGAAAACAAGTGTCGATTATCGAACGTCTTTACGGTGGTTCGTTCACGCTGAAAGTCATTTCTTTTTGCCGTACAACGAGGCGCTCGATCACTTTCTGTGCAGTAAATATGTTTTTATAGATTGCCTTATCTCGTGAGGCGCGTTCTTGTTCCCTAAAATGTGTCTCTACCACAGCAAATCCACGCGCAATTCCCTTACTTCCCTACCGTACCGCGCCGTCCATCGGCTAACGTCTGTGACGTCACCGGAGAAGCACTACGGCCTTGTCGTCTAGGCGGTGTTGGCGAAACGCGCGCTTCGACGCAGGAATCTACCAAATCCACCTGGAACCGAACCTCGTCTGCCTTCCCGCCGTGGCGACGGCGGTAGCCAGGTCGCGAACCAGGGCAGAACAGATGGACCAGCAACAGACACACCAGAGGCAGGTGGCCTGTGACGCCAAGTCCGATGAACACCGACATTAAAGAAAAGCAAACGAGGCGAAGAGCAGAGCCGTCATGTTTTTTCTCGTGGGTGTCCAAACAGAAGACGGACTGCCGGACTCCAACTTTCACTTCAAAGAGCGGAGAAGTGTCGCTTCGCGTTCTGAAATATCCTAGCTGGTTGGACCCCACCATTTAGAAAGCGGCACGCTGGCGTCCGGCGTTCCCCGTTCTAAAGGCTCGTCCACACAGTGGCGTCTGCCTGCGTTAATTCTGCTTTCGTCGAACTGTTGCTATGGCGACCCTTGCGACGAGCCAAAGGGGAGGGCAACGCGGTCGACGCACTTGTGTGAAGGAGCCTTAATGAATTCGACGAGGGCCGTGGAGACAAAGACCTTTTAGTCTACCCACTGATCGTTCCAACCAGAGCTCGGTATTCTGACGACCCCCACGCTCTTGTCTCCTCCTCTTCCTTCCTTTCTGCCCGCACAGAGATCGGGAGCTGACTTACTTTTTTCGGATCTCGTTGACGACACGGGGTTCGTCCGTTGCCACGAACACCCTCTTCTTTTCGACGTGCGTTGTAAGAGAAAGCTTGGCGTAGTAATCCTCCACGTGAACCATGTACTCTTGGACATCGTGATAGACTGCCTCCAGGTACTTGTCCGACCTCCTGATATGCACTCTGTGGAAATTTCCAGAATCAAATAGCTCGTTACGTAAAATAGGAGAGTTGCGCCCATTCTAGACGTGTGCCAACACCAAATGGATCACAAAGCCCCAGTCCTGAATTTTATACATCGACTGTTGAATTATCAGCGCGAAGCATGTATTGGACAGGCTACGCGAGCGTACGGCTAAAACTAGGTTTCAATCGGTCAGAACATGAGTCTATGCCGAACACTGACACAGCGCTCGTATTCAATATGTGGCCTGCGCTGGCCGTCAGTATCGGTGACATATATATCTTTTCCACAAGGGCGCCGCCATCTTAATTGTCGTTACTTCCAGTATGGGCGAAAACATATTACTTTGCCGTCGCCACGCCAATAGAAGACAACTGGGCTATAAGCGTAATTGTCACACATTCTCGTTTTGGCTCCCGTCTATTTTTTTACTGGTTACAGGTTTAAAAGTTTTACTATTTTGTCGTCGCCCATACTGGAAGTGACGACAATTCAAGATGGCGGCGCCCCTGTGGAAAATGTCTATACGAGTTTCGTCTCGGACAGTATGCTTCCAAACGCAGCCGACGCTACGATGTAATGAAATCAATAAATCAAGCTTCAAAAGTGCAAGACACCAGGCCTTTTTGTTTATGATTGGTTCAGTGATGAAATAACACGTCTACAGAAATGTGACGAAGACAGCTCGTAGCGTCGACTGCGCCTCGACTAAGATTAAGCAGAGTATAAAAATTCTGCCGTACGACTTTCTTGTGGTGTTGTTAGAGGAAGCAATAAAAAAATAACATCACCAACAAACCCTCTAGATGTTTCTTTTTGTTGGGATAAAGCCTGACACGTAAACGTTCATACGTCTCCCGAAGCTTTGAACAAACTGGGGTGCCCTCATTTCGGGTAGTACAAGCTCACCTGATTGGGCCTCGCTCAACTTTTGACGCCTTCACTGAATGCTTTTATTTCTGTGTAGTGCTGACGAACGAAAAAAAAACCTTTCCTTTCGACGTCTAAATTGGGCACATTCATCGCCGAAAGACAATCAAAAGTGCCAGATTCATGGCACCACAGTTATAGTATGCGCCTCTCTTATCCCTAGGTGGTGTCGTCATAACATCAAACGTTCCGACGCTTTTTAGAGCGCAGCTCTTAGGCGCATGTTTCCGGCTTGAGCGACGTCGCCGTCGCCGTCGACATCCGCGTAACCGTGAGGTCACGTGACCCCCCAAGTCACGTGACCCCCCCCCCCCCCCCGAGATCATGTGACCCCTGTGGGGGGAGGAGGGGAAGGGAGGAGAGCAGGAAGGATCACCAGGGGGGACTAATCCGAATTTGTCCCTCGGCCGGCTTGGAACCGGATCCCTTTCGTTCAGGAGTAGCAGGCAGGATCATGAGGTAGGAGGAGGAGGGGTGGGTCTACCCTCCCCTCAGTACCCTTCCCTCCTCCTCCTCCTGTAACGCCGAATTGGAGCGCAGCTCCAATTCGGCGTTACAGGGAGTTGTAAACGGCTTTATTTTTTGTATTTTTATTTTTTATTTCTAACATATGATCACATGAAACGGCGTCTCTTCGGCTCACGCGCTCTATACGCCTCGCAAGTGGGCTCATTTTCGTCTTCTGCGCATGAGAAAGGAAGTAGTGGTGACGTCAGAACGCCGAGCCCTGATTGGCTGATCGCGACCCCTATCTCAGCGTCGTCTGCTCCTTTGCAACGTCGTCTGCTCAACGTCGTCTGCGTCTGTCTTACCTTTCCTGCGACTTTCGGAGCGAACTCGACTTCGCCTTTAAGGGAGGGCAGACGAAATAACTCGAGCGGTACGTTGTTTTTGTCTAACAACTAGCAGACTCGCTTCAAGGAGAGAAGTCAAAGGACTCACTGGCGAGGTGTCCCGGGGCGCTGAGGTTTGTTTGCTTAGAACCGAGAGTGAAGCGTGTTAGTGTCCGCAAGGTCCATCCCAAAATTTTTTTCCTCCATTCGTGTGCGGCGAGACCCCTCACTCTTTAACGGCGCCGGCGGGTTGGCGCAGTTAACGTCGTCTGCTTTACGCCTGCTAGTCAAAGCGATGGCTGCTTTACCTTTCCTGCGTCTGTCGGAGATTCACCGCTTTTTCACCGGCGAGTCATCGTTGCCTCGGGAAACAAGGAGATAACAGGAGGAAGAAATTGACCATTTAATCTAAAATTGAGGTCAGCGATCAAAGTATAACACGGGAAGGGTTCACAAGGGTCGCGCGTGCATATTCCATTCAGCACGTCAGCCGGTCGTGGGCAGACGGTCGCCGAGTCGCGGAGTGCCTGCTAGGCCTAACTGCCCAGCTCGTTTGGTCGCGTTCGGTCGGATCGGGGCCGTCGGAGCTTTTCCCCGGTGTTTGTGGATCCAGCGTTCTTGTTCATCGTGCTCTGTTTCAAGTAATTTTTACTTTTTTCTTGCTGCTTGAAGTCAGGACGCGTCCGAAGCTCACGTAGAAAAATAAACGTCCGTGGGTCGTCGCGACCGCGACGCTGTCGGCCATGCTGAGTTGAGCTGCCGTAGGATTTCGCCGTAGCCTGCGCAAAACTTACGAAAATTTCGTTTCGCAAATACGAAGAATGTTCTTAAGTTTTGTCTTACGCATATTTTTAGCGTAAGATTGTTTCGTAAATCTGTCCTCTGCACTTCCGAAAGTCGCAGGAAGGGTAAGACAGACGCAAACGACGTTGCGAGCAGACGACGTTGCAAAGGAGCAGACGACGCTCAGATAGGGGGTCGCGATCAGCCAATCAGGACTCGGCGTTCTGACGTCACCGCTACCCCCTGCGCAAGAAGCAGACGAACTTGCCCTCCGCATAGCTTTGACGCGTGCCTCGACGGTGCTCGAATTTCTGTTGTTTCTCTGCATTTTCCTCGTGATCGCGTTCCGCAGCAGAGCAGGCACGCTTCTGCTTGTGTGAGACGCTCAACACTGAACTGCCCAAAACAAGTCCTAACAAGTTCCTTTTCGCAACGCCCCCTGGGCAACGCGGGAGCCCTCTATCGCAGTGAAGCAAAAGCGACACCGTCTCTCAAATGAATCTTTCCTCGTTCGCTTGTTTCGATAATTTCTGATCCCGTATTATGTCAAAAGATACGACAACCGATGCCTGAGCTATCTTCCGCCCAGAACCTGCGTGCTCGTCGTTGGACAGGTCGACCCTCAGTCTTGAACCACTCTCTGCGCTTATACTGACACGCTGAGAACAGTGACAGGCGATGTAAAAGTGAGGCAAAACTATTGGTTCGGCTAGCGCGTAGCCCCCACAGCCCCGATCGCTTAGCAACGAACGGAGTCTATATATGAAAGATTCCGTGTTTTAGGTAACTACAAATATACCGCGAGAATAAAACCCCAAATCGGTTTTGTCAAAGTCAGGTCAAAATATTTTTTTTTATTTGAAGACAAGTTGTTAGATAATTACACTTATTTAGACGGGGGTCCCAAATTTTTCAAAGAAAACTGTTGAAGGGACCTTTTGGTAATAAAGGGTAAGTCAGAGATCAAGTTGGCACCATTATGTATAAAAGAAACTTGAATAAAAAATAAAGAACGAAATATAATTGCTGTATGTACATAATCAAAATATAAAACCAAGTGAAAAGAGAGAGAAAAAAAGCCAGGAAGTCAAGAAAAAAAGAAAAACAATTGCTGTGCGTGTATGTGTGTGAGAGAAGAAAAGAATTAATCGGGGGCATATAAATTGTTGATGAATCATGCAGATAGGATGTGTGCATGTATAGCTTGTTTAAAGATACAGAATGATGGCATGGCAGTTAGGCTGTGTGGTAGGGAGTTCCACGTTTTAGTAGCAATGTAAATGAAGGTGAACGCGCCGCAATTAGTTCGTATGTAGGGTGCAGACAGTGCAGACAGTGACGCTTCGGAATGTGAACGCACAGGATTCATGACATCTTGATGAGAAAAACTAATTGAAGAGCATGTTATCTGATCGGTTATAAAATTAAATGTTATTAATGATATACGATAATCGAGGCATTGATGAACTTAATCATAATGTAGAAAACCTGAGACTGTGGTAAAAGCAAGGAAACGGTGTCGAAGAAGAAGGACAGGGGAAAAGAACGTCCCCTGTCTTTCTTCTTCGACTCCGTTTCCTTGCTTTTACCACAGTCTCAGGTTTTCTACATTATGATCAACATCCACCAGCTCGCCTGCCCACTCACAGTTTTTTCATTGATGAGCTGTTAAAATGTTGAGGAAGCTGCATGCAAACTGTGCAATTTCTATAGGTTTTAGTGTTGTTTTAAATGTCATTCCATAAATGGATAACCCGTACGTAATGTAAGTATGAATAAAGCGATGATAAAGCATTTGGAGGATTCGCAAGGAAAATATATGCCGGAGTTTATATAGAATTGGTATATTTCGATATATCTTGTTAAGGGTGTCTTTTGCGTGTTGATGCCATGTTAATTTATGGTCAAGTGTTAGTCCTAAAAATTTTGTATTGTACACTCGTGTTAGGTTCATACTTGCAAACGAAAGCTGGGGTGTGTTTAAAATATTGTTTGTTTTTTGGGGGAAAAAATGCTGTAGTTTGTTTTCGCTATCTTGGGAACCATTTTGTTATAAGTTAGCCATTTAGCTAGCTTTTCTTAAGTGTTATTAGCTTCCATGAATAGTTCTGTCACGCTTGCATTAATAATATGTGTATCGTCGGCATAAAGAACACAGTCGTTTTGTAAATAGGCCCTGCCAGGTCATTAATATATATATGAAAAGAAAGGGACCTAATATTGAGCCTTGCAGAACACCAATGGTAATAGGTTTAGTTGTTGAAATTGTGTCACCTAAAGTGACAAATTGACACCTTTTAGAAAGATAACTTTGGATTAGTTTGAGAGCAACAACACGAACCTTGTAAGCACTTAATTTATGTTGTAAAAGTTAATGGTTAAAAAGGTCAAACGCTTCTGTTAGGTCTACAAAGATTCCCATTGTTAATAACTTCATTTCAATGTTTTGCTTTGTTTTCTCTACCATATTTAATAACGCAAGTTTTGTTGATTTCCCTTTAAGAAATATATATTGTGACGGAGTGATCACATTATTTTCAGAGAAGAACAAGTTCGGTCGCCTTAGTAGTAGTTTTTCGATCGCTTTTGTAATAACAGGAAGTAAGGCGATCGGTGGATAGTTCTCTGGTTTTAGTTTGTCTCCTTTTTTTAAATATTGGAATCACTTTCGCTATTTTGAATGAGTCAGAATAGGAGCTAGTCGTGAAAATTTTGCTGATAATATCAGCCAAAGCTGTAGAATGATGGAACCACAGTTTTAGTATTATCGTCTGTATTCCGTCGCACTCCGACGACGCCGCATTTCTTGGCGTGAAAATGAATCTTTCATTTACACGCCTGGCGATCTAGAAGTTTATAAACTTCTTCTAGATCGACAGGCTAAAGACAAAAAGTCGTGTCATTACGAGCTACGTTTAGTGTGCCAGTCGATAGATTTGTGAATGAAAGATAATGTACGTTTGTAGTGATAGTTGAAAAGTAGTCATTGGGAAAGGGGGGGGGGGCGGGATGTTAGAAATTTCTTGCTTGTCCGTAATTACGACTTGATCAGTGCTTAAGGCTAATACAGTTTGTTCGGTAGCACTCTTATTTAGTTCAGAATTATTTTCCAGGTTTCTCTAGGATTGTTACTGGCGCTAGAAAGGTCACTAAAAAAATACTGCTGTTTAGCTAGGCGAACCAGTTTCTTCAAACAAACATTACACGTTTTGTATTCAGATTGAAGGCTTAGATTGAATGGATTGCGTTTTCGTTTTTCTATACATAATGTTTTTGTGATGGATAGATCGTTGTAGTCCGTATGTCAGCCAGGGGATTTTACTGACTGATCTGTGGAACAGGGTTTTTGTTTTCGTACCTATTTGGATGGGAGATTTTAGTATTGCTATAAAGTTGTCTGTTTCTAGGTCCGCCGTACGTGGGCCCTTGGTGTACGTTCTCCCAAAATGAGGGAAAACCAAAAAACTTCGATTTTCATTTGCCCTTAAATAAGAACCTCAGCATAACTTCATTGTTCGGAACCGAACACATCGTCATTTTTTCTTCGCAAGAAACCCTGATAAACTTCGATCTTGTTTGACACTGAAAAACACGAAGTAAGATAAAAATATGTTTGTTTGTTTTAGTTCCGACAAGACAAGTCAAAACATTCAATCGGTCTGTTTTCTTTTCCTTTGTTGCTGCATTTTTCTTGAATTTTAAAAAGGGTCATATATCGGCGTGCATTTATTTATCGATCTTTAATTTACACTGCTTTTCAAAGACCCTATGGTATTATGATAATAGCATTCATCCTTACCCGACGATAGGGTGCTTGTACCCCCTGGACATCTTGAAGTCCGAGATTTTCTTTAACGTGGTAGCTTGGAGCCTGAGTATGTATCTCATCAGCTGTCCGTACCACCAGGCGTAGGGGCTTCCATGATTAGCCACCAGGGGTTCGGCGATGGCGGATGGAAGCTCAACGATGTTCCCCCTAACCTGACCCGCTGCACAAATGTTTTCATTTTTTTTAATAAAGTGTCAGTTATACAGTTTATACAGCAATGTTTATGACCCCTCTTTTTTTTCTTTTTTTTTTGTCTGGGAAATTTGGAATTATAAGGGAGGGTAAATATTGATCTAAATCATGGAAAATTTTCAATGGCCCAGTTCTAACGATGCCAATCTTTCTGGTAGATGTAAGTGGTCCTCAAAGAGGCCTCTGAACGTTTTTGCTAAATGGCCTGATTGAAGACATGACGCAGTCTAGAGGGCCGGAAAGTAAATACTACAATATAAAGGAAGAAATACTAAATCAATATGCCTGAATAAGAATTTAAATACAAAAATTCAAACTAGAGCAATAGTTTGAAGAAAGACATTTAAAGGGGTACTCCACCGATTTTTTGAGCTACCTCGACTAACTATATTTTCTGACTTCCCGGCCTTTACTCTCTCCGGTATGCTATTCAGAATCGCGAAATTCATAATAGTTATTGCGAATATCGGCAAATGAAAATGATGCAAAAACCAAAATTCAAATATACGCGCGCTTTTCAGGGCCGTGACGTCAGTGGCAGGCAGGCTTGCCAGTCGAGCAAGCAGCCAAAAAATAGAATATGCCGATCATTTGCTCCGTGCTGGAGCGCGGGTACTGCAGCGAGCTTCCCAAGCATTCATTTGACACCATGAAACTGCTTCGAATCAGTTTAAAACAAAATCTACAGCCCAAAGAGTGAACTCCTGCCTTCCACTGACGTCACTTTTTCACTGTTGCCAGTAGAGACTTCGAGCTTGAAAAACACGGTGAGGACCAAAACTGTAAATTCAATAACTTCGCGAAAAAACAATATTTTGACCTAATATTTGGGATACTATTTTCGCGATGTTTGTTGGTTAGTTTAGCAAAATTTCAAGCAAATCGGAGACAATGAAAAAATCGGTGGAGTAGCCCTTTAAGGTGGGTGAATACGTATAGTTCATTTTTTTAACGCATTATAGGATAATATTGAAATTATAAAATAATTGTTATCCAGAGAACTTACTAGACATAAATGCAAGCGCACAGGAAATGTGGCATATTCACACCGGGCAAAAGGCTAACTAGAATGGTCAATCTGATGACGTAGAATGCAAAAGTTACGATGACGATATACAGATAATGCAAAGGAATGGTTTCCTATGTAACGCAGACATGAAGTAGAAAAACTATGAGTAGTACTGCTGGCGATGACCATGAGCAGTAAATAATATGGCGAGAGAACCCGGGTTGTGACGCAGTTTTAAAGGGCCCATGAAACGAATTTTGGGCTGGAATAAACCAATTTAGATCGGGGTTTTACCGATAGCACATCGTTCAGTGGAGCAAAAGAAAAAAAGGTAGAAAGTCAAAAGCCTGACTTTAGGTACGAAAATTTGAAAACACAGCAGACTATTTCGCACCTCCTTCCCTTCATAACCTCTCTGCCTTTTCAGTGTGATACATCCGTGGTCCCCGCAGCGCGTCACCGGGCCCAAACGCAGGTCGCACGGCACCGGACCTCACTTAATCCCTTCACCCCTAAGCTGACATTGTGGTGGAAGCTAAGCACTTGCCGGACCAATCAGCCGCCTCCTTTTCATCACCTGACCTCAATCTCTGCGCGTGGGTATGCGCGAGAGAGCGTGATCACGTGGCAAAAGTGTGGCTGGCCCAACGAGCACGTAGCTTCCACAGCACTGTCAGCTTCGGGGTGAATAGGGTGAGGAAAGCAACTTCTCTCTGAATTTTGAGCGACGGGATAATCTTCTAGGGGGAGATTGGCTGTGTCTTGGTACACAAGCGAGATCCCGAGCAAGAGGGGACTCTTCCCTTCCCGTCTTTTTTTAAACAATGCTTTTAAACAATGCGCGATTTATGAGTTGAGGAGGAAAGCAGAACAGGAAAAAGTTGGAAAAGCGTTTCATGGACCACTTTAAAGCATGAAAGGCTTTTTAAAAACGCTACCCCCAATCCCAATCTTTTGTGCGTGCGTACGTTTGTGCACTATCCGCTAAAATTAGCGAGAAAAGTGGCGTCACGTGACGTCGTGGAAGTTGACGGCACGTGGCCTGTACGTCAGTTTCCGTACTAAATTTAGTGGGAAAATTAACGTCGAGTGGCCAAGCAGTCGATGAAGTTATTCCGCTAAATTTAGCACGAAATGGTCATGTGACAATTCTGTTGCAAACTAAATTTAGCGGGAAAATTCACGTCTTGTAACCTAAACACCAATCCAGTTTCCCCGCCAGATTTGGCGAGGGAAATCGACGCACGTGACCTGACGTCAGGTGACCATTCAACCACTCAGTTTCCCCGCTAAATTTAGCGGGGAAATATGCTACACGTGACACATCGATTCCCTCACTCCACCCCTCTCTTCCCTTCACCCTACTTTTCTCTCCCCTCCTTTTCCCTCCTAGCAACATCTCCTAGATAACCTATGTAAGGGGTCTCAAACCCATTTGAGGTCGGGGGTCAGATATCTCACCCCCGAAAGGTCGAGAGTAAATGTTTAGGGGGAGGGGGGGGGGGGGGGGGGGGGGATTCTTATGGAACAACGGACTTTATGTTCTTGCTTTTTGATAAAAAAAAATTAAAATGACACCGCCTCGGCATCATGCTGATATGTTTTGTATAAAAGAACAGAGTACGCAGACTGTAGTTCGCGTTGCTAGATTCACTCTGGAATTATTCGAACTCAAGATGTTCCGAGAAAAAAAAAACATTTCATCATACGCCAGTTATTGCTTTCATGGCGATTTTTATTGAGCACTCTTATAAAACACTCGCATTTTTATGGTGATGTTTTCTGAAGGTTAGAATTCCTAGTTCGTAGCTCGAGCCGTCACTCGAGCTTAGCGAAAGTTCATACAGCTGAAGTGACCAGAAGCTGGAAAGCAAAAAATTAAAACGAAAAAATGGGAATCATAAGAGCACAGCTACGTGTCGAGCGGAAATGCATCGCTGACATTAGATTATTATGGCGCATGCAAATTCTAGCGCTGTAGACACGGGAATACAGGCTCGGAGCCGGTTACTTGCGGGCCGTGACCCAGAGAGTCGCGGGCCCCATGCGGCCCGCGACTCATGTTGCTCCCAGGGTGCTCTTCCTCATCCATCTCTTCCTCGGTCCCCACCCACCTCCAATCCTTTTGTGATATCCTATAATCATATAACGCATTATAATTCTATGAAGTACTTTAATGCATTTCATGCGTTATAGTACTTTAAAGGTAAAGGTACCTGCCAATTGTTGTTGTTTTTTTCTCAACCTTTATATCGCGCTTTTGGTGAGCGTCGCTGACTGAAAAATTAAAAGCGCGGTTTCTTGAAGAGTGAATTTCAGTTTGAATCACGCGGCAGTGTCGTTCACCGGCGGCGGCTACATGACATTACCGAGCATAGATGGCGCTAGTTCCCCGTAAGTTTTGTAGAGAGCCTCCATTTAAGAGAGGGAACAACACAAACTAAGGAGGGGGTTTGCAATTTCATGGAAGACGCCTCCTGCGCCGATTAGTCGCAAGTGCGCATGCGTGGCGTTGTCGCAGGGTGAGGAGGAAAGCGATCGGAGAGGCCGAGACGCTTGCAGACGACCAACGCTTTTGTCGCCACCTCGCAGCTCGTGGTACAAACCTAGCCAATACACCACGTGACCCTTTTGAGCAGCTAGAAACACTCTGTAATCTAGGCACACCAAAGTTGCGCGGAGCTGGCGCCATCTGTGATCCGATGCGTGATGTATCGAGCTCTCGTACTTCTGCTACTGACTGGATACCTTTCATCAAAATCGTCAAGATATCAAGTTGCAATGTTCAGTACATGGAACGTATTGGGCGAGGACGTTCTCGCCCTCCTTTCTCCGATGGGACTAGCATTGGGTGAAACATGATCGTTTTCTATACTCTATTTCACCTTATGATGCACTGCAGGAAAGGCTACGAGCGCGAGCCCCTTGCTCTAGGGCGCATCTAGGCGGCACAAGCTCTCGTGCACCAAGGGCAGCTGCCAACGCTATGAGCTCGCGCTTCTAGCCTTCGCTGCGGTACAACTTAAGGTGAAACGGAGTATAAAATAGTTTATACTCTGTGCGCTGTGAAGAAAAACTCTGGAAGATAACGGACACCACTGCCAAAAGATTGAGTGCTCAGATGAAAGATAATAATATTACTATTACTATTAGTATTATTATTAATATTATTGCTCATTTTATGTGCCCAAAACAACCACGCTGGTCTGCACATTGGCGCACACAAGAAGATAAGAAGAAACACAACACACGCACAGCATCGAATGTACAAATCAACGTGACTACAAATAGGGGGCACACAAGAACAATCACGCGGATCTTCACATTGACGCATGTTTCGTCAATGTGAACTTCCAACGTCTTAAACATCCGTTTTTGCTCTCTCATGTGTTCAAGATGTTGACGACATTCCTTATTCTCCAAGCAGTAGTATCACCTCCATGGTCCACTAGAAGACTATACATTTCTAGAAATAAAACTGTCTGGAAAAAGACCCGAAACAAACACTTTTCTTTCATCAGAGACAATTCCCGGACTTATATGGGAAGAAAAAAATCAAGGATACGCTACTACCGCTACATTTTCGGCAAAAGCTGAGCGCTCGGCGATGCGCCGTTTATTTTTGCGGTGACGAAAACCCTGTAATTGTTCGGGATGGACGCGCTGTATACACGCAATTACATTGTTTTGAAAATGGCTCAAATTTAAAACAAACAATTTATAAAACAAAGATCTCCCAATATTTTTTTTTTCTTTTTTTCCTTTTGTAGCAGTCGCCCAACACTATTTAAGGAGTCTAATGGCTAATTCGGGTGGTCATTCCCCGGCAAAATATTTTGCCCTATCTTAGGCAAGAGCGTTCGCGCGCCATCCGAACGCTCTTAGGCAAGAGCGTTCGGATGGCGCTTCTCGGGCAGCACCGAGAGGTCGGGCAGCTTGTCTGCCAGACTGTGTCCGGTATCGATATATACGAATCGAGGAAAGCGAACGAAAGGTAACAATGCTCGCAGAAAGTGGGTTCGAGTGGAAAAAGATAGCTATGCGGAGGGCAAGTTCGTCTGCTTCTTGCGCAAGGGGTAGCGGTGACGTCAGAACGCCGAGTCCTGATTGGCTGATCGCGACCCCCTATCGGAGCGTCGTCTGCTCGCAACGTCGTCTGCGTCTGTCTTATTTTTCCTACGACTTTCGGAAGTGCAGAGGCCAGATTCACAAAACGATCTTACGCCAAAAATGTGCATACGACAAAACTTAAGAACAAATTCGCATTCACGAAACGAAATTTTCGTAAGTTTTGCGCAGGTTACGACGAAATCCTACGACAGCTCCGAAGGTGTCTTATGCACTTCTTACGGTCAAATCAGCATGGCAGACAGCGTCGCGGTCGCGACGACCCACGGACGTTTATTTTTCTACGTGCGCTTCTCACGCGTCCCGACTTCAAGCAGCAAGAAAAAAAGTAAAGAGTACTTGAAACAGACCACGACGAACAAGAACGCTGGATCCACAAACACCCGGGAAAAGCTCCAACGGCCACGATTCCACCGAACGCGACCAAGCGAGCTCAGCAGTTAGGCCTAGCAGGCACTTCGGGACTCGGCGACCGTCTGCCCACGACCGGCTGGCGTGCTGAATGGAATATGGCCGCGCGACCCTTGTGAACCCTTCCCGTATTATACTTTGATCGCTGATCTCAATTTTATAATAAGAGGTGAATTTCTTCCTCTTGTTATCTCCTTGTTTCCCGAGGCAACGATGACTCTCGCCGGTGAAAAAGCGGTGAATCTCCGACAGACGCAGGAAAGGTAAAGCAGCCATCGCTTTGACTAACAGACGTAAAGCAGACGACGTTAACTGCGCCAACCCGCCGACACCGTTAAAGAATGAGGGGTCTCGCCGCATAGGAAAGGAGGAAAAATGTATTTGGGAGGGAACTTGCGGGCACTAACACGCTCACTCTCGGTTCTTAGCAAACAAACCACGGCGCCTCGGGACACCTCGCCAGTCACTATTTGACTTCCCTCCTTGATGCGCGTCTGCTAGTTGTTCGACAAAAACAACGTACCGCTCGAGTTATTTCGTCTGCCCTGACCTGCACTTCCGAAAGTCGCAGGAAAGGTAAGACAGACGCTGACGATGTTGCGAGCAGACGATGTTGCGAGCAGACGACGTTGCAAAGGAGCAGACGATGCTCAGATAGGGGGTCGCGATCAGCCAATCAGGGCTCGGCGTTCTGTCGTCACCGCTACTTCCTTTCTCATGCGCAGAAGACGAAAATGAGCCCACTTGCGAGGCGAATTGAGACAGGCACTCCTTTGTGCTCCGAGAAAAGATAGCAAAAACAACGAAGATAAGGATAAAATGTTTTAAAGAAAGCTCGCGCAAGGTCAGCTTGCTCCGGTTAACAACCTATTATTACACCGCTTTAAAAAAAAATGTATCGGTAGTGCTGCAGCTCGACGCTTGAAAGCGCATTACTACTTCAAAGGGATGAGATCAATGAAAGGACTGAGGGTTCCAGAAAAAAGTAATGACGAGGAAATATAATATAAACAGCGAAGCTGGTAAGCCGTCTGGGAGTCTCGCAAAATGGCAGCAGTTCTTCGTAAATACAAGCAAAATATATTAATATTTCGCGTAACGCTCCCCACATATTTATTAATCTGCTCTCCTCTTAAGTTTATAATTTAAATCCTGTAAGCGTGCAAATGTGTTTATCCACATCTCAAGGTCCGAATATATGTTTCTGATGCATACTGCGTGCTTGGTCTCGTCAAATAATCGGAAAAGTTACCGAATCTCACGGGCGACCCAGGCCAACAAAAACGCCAACTGCCGGTGCTTTGTGCTGGGGTGGAGAGGGTCACGTGTTGCGCCACTAGCGCGATTTCGGTTGTCGGTTCCACCTGAAAAGGCTCGCCGGCGATTGACCACCCGAATTCACCTTAGCTTTATCAAAATTTTACCGAAGATTTTCCAGGTTCGCAAAACCACTCGAAGCGCGAGGTTCGACAAAAAGGATCGGGATGTCCTACCCGCTACCCTTATCGTGATGACTCAAAAAGCTACCTGTTACCTCCTGGGATTGGGTTCTTCGTCGTGTTCCTCGTGTCGGCATCCGCACAAGACGGGCCCAGGATAGGGAGGAACGTCTTGACCCACTTGTTTCCAGTGGCGTAGTGCCACTCGGAGGTGTCTACTACCAGCGTCCTTCCACTGCGCAACGCCACCACCAAGCACCAGAGGAGGTTGTGGACACCCGATGCCAGTCCGCACTTGTTCGTGAGAGGACAAAAGAGCTTCGGAGCCGCACTGCAATTGGCCGGATTCTGGAGAAAAACGCAGAAATTGTGAGTAGATATGTTCGTTTCTTTTTCTTCCGAAGTCTGAGCGCAGCCGACGCTGGGTCCTTCCATTTCAAACGTTCCAGACGTTGCGCTCGACCATTTTCGAGGTTTAAAGGAAATCCGTGACTTTTTACCCCAAGGTCCTTAACCTGCTCCATAAATAGTTTCACCGAATTTTTTTTCCACCGTATCTGAAGAGGCCCAAAATGCATTTCTGTACGCTCCTCATGATGTCGTCGTAGGGCATAAAATAGTAGAGGTCTTCAACGTCTACGGCGAAAGCAATGCAGCTTTTTGGGTTCTTTTCCTTCAGGAACTCAATGACAGCCAAGGAACTCGGGATGCCAAAAGGGTCACCTATAACCAGCGAGTCGAGTCAAGTGTAAATGTCTTTCATTTTTATTCTGAGGAGTATTTTGTTTTGCGGAGTATTTTGTTTTGCGGCTCCAAATATCTTTAATTTCTAATAATTCTACGGGGCTTTCAACACAAAAAACAGTTATAAATGTCAGCTAAGCACAAAGCAGTAATTAAACAAAAAATGAAAGACATTTACAAATCCCTGTAATGCGAAATTAGAGAGCAGCTCTTGAGGAGGAGGAGGATAGGGTACGGAGGGGAGGGTATGCTCCACCTCCTCGCCTCCTCCCATCTTCCTCACCACCTTGTCGCCTTCCCCTCCTTTGCTCCTTCTTCTCTCTCCTGCTCTCCCCTACTCCTCCTCCTCCTTTCTTCCTCCACTACCCTCTTCCTCCGTACCCTTCCCTCCTCCTCGTCCGGCTTTCCCTCTCCTCCTCCTCCGTGCCCTCCCTTCCTCCTCCGTCATACCCTCCCCGCCTCCAACAGTTTCCCCTCTAAATTTAGCTGAAAAATTGATGCCACGTGACCTCAACAGCGATTCAATTCCCCGCTCAATTTAGCGGGGACGGGCAAACCCACCAATACGAACAACGCCGTGACGGTGCACTTTGGTGGTGCTTGTAGCGTCGTCTAAAATATAACGGAGTGTAGCCGACTAAACGCTCTCCAATTCCCGGGATTTCTTTTTTTTTTTTTTTTTTTTACGCGAAGTTTGCAAATTTATGCGCCGGGAAACTGAGGGAGAAAAGTGGACGAGAGTGCGCGGGATCTTCAGAGCAGAGAGCTCTGGTTGGAATGATTAGTGGGTATATCCAGCCGGCCACAACCAGACGGCTCCAGCAGAGTGCGAGCCCACGCTTGTACTCCGTCTCGTTGTAACTTGGCAGAGGGTGAACGATAAGCCCCACATTGTGTGCCGACGGCTTCCATATGCGCTATGTACAGAGTCATGATTTCGAACATCAAACGAAAGATGAACAGTGCCTCAAGCATTTGCACGACTGCAGATATCTGGTCAACCAACCACAAAAGCTTCATGGGCATGACAGCTCATTGGTTCACATAAAACCTTCAGAGAGAATTCTGCGGCATTGCCAGCCGTCGCATGACAGGAAGACACACAATCATTTGACAAAATTGGTGGAATGATCTCGGAGATCCATGGCGAATTTGTTGGTTATGACCAGTGCTCCGAAATTGTATACACAGCAACAGACAACGCAAGCAACATTGTAAAGTCGTTTAAGATGTTTGGTGTTGTAGAGAATGTATCTGAAGAGTTCCAGCGGGTTCCCCCCGTGCAGGCTCAGGTAGGCGAACCTGATTTGAGTTCTGGCTTTGATGATGGAGGCAATAGTGATGAGGTTTCTTTTCCTGGCATTAGTGAAATCATGAGCCAACCGAATGAGTGCCTGGTGTCACTTCCATCCGACATGAGGTGCGCCGTTCACACATTAAACCTGATTGCAACCACTGACGTAACCAACGCTCTATCGAAACAAGGCGGTCCATAAGCTCTGGGGCAATGCCAAAATGCTTCAAACTGTGGTCAGCTTTCAATCAGAACGATCTAGAAGCAAATGTGGTTCAAGATCTTACTGGCATGTGGCTTCGAATGCCAGGAGAAACACGGTGGAACAGCACCTTCGATGCCGTTCGTTGGTTAACAGAAAAAAATAGTGAAACACCCTCTGCCAGGAATAATCGAGAAGCTAAAATTACCCCCGTTTTTCGCAGTGAAGTGGAGTGTTTAAAGGAGTACGCCACCGTGTTTTCGCCCTTGGCAGAAGCCCTCCACAGACTGCAGGGGGAAAAGCATTGTTTCCTCGGCGAACTAATGCTCACTGTCCAACAGATTGTATATAAAATCAATCTGTGTAGCCTCAGCGAACTCTCAAACACTCTTCAGAGCTTGCTGAAGCCCTCGTTGCAGGGTTGCAGAAGAGATTTGGTGAGACGATTAACTTCGCAGAAGGGAGTAAGGTCTTTACGGTTGCGGTTGTTTGTCATCCCACCTTCAAGCTTCGTTGAGTTCCCAAAGAAAAGAAGGAGTGGGCAAGAAATTGCTTCACTCTGAAGCAGCGGTGAAACACGCCAGTTTATGCGTAGGGGGAGCAAGCTCTTCAAGGCATGTATACATCAGATAAACAAGATACATTCTTCGATTTCGATGAAGACGGTGCGGGCCCCAAAGCTGTGTTCGGAGAGCCTGTGAGGATGGTGTGCTTGACTTAGAACAGGCCGCTGGTAATACAGAATGGCTAGAGCTGTCTTCTCGTGTTAAGGATGTTTTCATCCAACTGAACTGCGTGTTACCTTCCTCTGCTCCGCTATAGAGCGTATTTTTTACACCGGAGCCTTAGTTGAGACGCCAAGACGAAACCGCATGTCGGACTCCATGTTCCAAAAGCTGTTGCTTTCCAAAGCTAATGAGAAGTCTTCGTATAAGTAAATTGTTTTGTAATAAATGATTTTGGTTTAATTGCCTGCATGAGCGAGCTTCCACAGCACTTGTCTTTTCTGTTGTTTTGAGAAGACAAGAACTATACTCTGCCTCAGTCGTTGTGAACAGCGCTGAGAAAGACACGGGGACGAGCGCAATTGGTCTGTGCAGTGCCCAACTGTTGCGCAAAGACTCGTGGAAATTGAAGTTCTTTCAAGAACCATGGGCACGCGTCCGAGGTTTTCCTACTTACGCACGTAACTGTTGAGGTGGACTATAAGTCTGCACTAACCTCTAACATGTGAAAAAGCGCTATTCGTCTTTGGAGACCTCATCTCGTCATTTCTCTGAGGGAAATGATAGTGGCTATACGATTGACGCACATAAGCGCATTATAACTTTATTGTGTGCAATAGATCGTCAGCGCGAGAGAAAGAGTTTACTGTGTGACCCTTTGACCAGTTTCAATATTTGCTGCCATTTCCTCAAATAATTAATGTCCCCCTCTATTATGCGCTCAAGTACGCATGGGACTACGCGTATAATAAAGGATTTTGGTAAGAAGTACTTGTACTTACATTGCCTCCTTGTACTTACTACTTTGCTTGAAGTACATAACCTCTCAACTACTTTGTGCCTGACTTCAAGCACTTTTTTATGTACTTTACCGAACACTGAATGCAGTGTGGAGACAAAGGTAGCTAGGTAGCTTTAGGACCAATCCTCTGAATCGGATCTAAGAGTGTCTCGAAATCCCAGCTAGAAGATCAGCGCGCCAGGCGAATGCTCGGCTACTTTTCCGAGCAGCCAGATACGAAAAGCCTATCGAACCATTCACGTCTGCATGCCCGCTCGAAAAATGGCAGCCTTCAATGCGGACGCAGATGCCGGTTTTCGCTGCGAAAGTCTCTCTTTCAAGTTTCTACGCAACAGCGGAAGCGACTGGCTTCACGTGGGCGATCGTCTGGCACGGGCCTCCACAGCTCTCACTTTGAAGTCGACGCGCGTCACAGCGCTCCGAGTCAGAGGACTGCGCGATCCGAAAATCTGAGAGCACTCTGAAAGAACCTGCCAAATATACCTGGAGCGCCCGACTTCGACAAGCCGAATGTTCATCGGCTTCTCAAAGTGCTCCAAGATACTGGAAATCGACCAGCCTTACATACCATGAGAAAGGAATCGAAGAGGCGGCTGGTTCTATGACAATTATGAACAAATATTTTATTAGATCTTTTAATATGCTTTCCAGGCATCATTTTACGCTTTTAGACATGCATTTTAAGCTTTCCGTTAAAGTTGCAATCTATATTCTTCGGCGGCACGATTCGACACCTTAGTGCCCGGTAATATTCGAGAACATTGAAAATAATTGTTCCTTTTATCGGAAGTTGTCTTGGCGAGGCCGCAGTAATCAATAATTTATTTTCGGAGATTAGCAGGAACAGAAGGCCCCCGTCTCGCCTTGTTCTCTTATTTGCACTGAATGTAATTAAATGAAGTTCTTTGAAGCATATAATTTAAAAAAAAATTATTTTTTCACTGTGTTAACGATATTATTGACGCTTGGCTTGCACTCGGGCATATTTTTTTAACATACAAGGAAACCACGAGCAAAAGTATGCATCCCTAAACTTATTCCCACACTTATAGACCAGAGCCTAGATTATCACACAATCATGTGTGCACAAAAAAAATATTTACTAAGCAAGGTCTAAAAAATATATATCAGTGCATCTACTTCACGGCCGGCCATTTAGCATTGGACCTACGAGATTCTCTCGATCAATGCCAAGACGACCCAAACACCTTTCAAGCGACAAATTAAGTAAGCCATGTGACACTTAAGACGGCATTCACAGTTGTGACGTCGTGATATGTGTCGCCTTCGATCCTCTACTTTTAGGTCTTAAAGAAAATCGGTGCAACCTTACAGAGCGTTCGCTCCGAAGATTGCACAGGCTGGCTCCACGGGAGTTTTGCTAAAAAGATGACGCGTGAACAATTTTTTTTTTTTTTTTTTTTGCGGTGCATGTGGGGAGAGGAATTGAGGGAAAGGAGACGATTTGAATGATTATTGGCAGGATTAGTGGGTCGACGCAAAAGCTATCTTTCTTTCTATCTTACTGCATCTCCCTCTAATCGGAGCAAACAAGCGCGTCGCGTCTGCTCCTCGTGCAGTGTCTCGCGTTCAAACGCGTTCAAACAGAGTGACCAAGGCGACTGGCCTTTGGGTCCACTCACTCATCCTTCCAATCAGAGCCCGGCACTCTGACGCCATCAAATGCTGTCGGCTCCTCCTCTCCCTCAGTTTCCCTCGTGTCTTCCACTGACGTTACTTGGTCAGACATAATGACGAGGAAAAGGACGCGTGAGAGCGTTGTTTTCGCTGCGTAAACGAAACGCTTCTGGCAACCAGAAAGAGGGACTGACTGACGTCACGTGCGAGCTTCGCATAGGTCTGGATTGCCAAATGTACCAAATGAATTTAAAAAAAATAAGAAACTGATAACTTCTACAATAATTAAGCTTTAGCCAAATAGACCAAGGAATCTACTTACTTGCAAATCGTGAATCGTTTGTTGTACGTAGTTTTGAAGTTTCTTCATATTTTCCGCAACACGGTCTTGCACACCATCCATATTCTTTAGATGCTTGACGTCCAGTTGCGCGATTCTGAATGTGACGTGACCACCACGAAGTAACGAAGGTGCGTCGAACATAAATAGTTCAGATATTAGTAGCGAACGCATTGGACATTTACCATGGTACACTGCCTGACAAACACCTATTGCACAGGCTAAGAGAAACAGGTACACACCATATAAGTTTTGCGTCATACTGCGGTTCTTTTCTATTCTCTCCAAGCGATGGACAGTCATGTTTTTTGCTTTGTTTTTTAAGCTACGAATGACATGTTTGCCTCCTCACTTTTCGGGAGATATCTATATTGACTGTTTGCTAACCAAGCAGTGGGAATAAGGTATGGCAACCTGTTCTGTCGGTTTCTTGAGCTGCCCAATCTAGACAAATTTTTAGAACACCCATGCTTCACTCTTCCCGGCATGATATCTATTATTTATTCCTAAATTCAAAATTTTGATGGCGAAAACGTACAATGATGAGGAGCCAAAACCAAAGTTCAAATTTTACCGCTTTCTCCAGTCGGTTGACGTTACAGATATAACTTGCAAGTCGAACACAGTGTTTTGCACACATTGTTTCGTTTTTTCCTGGCGTGAGCTTAACCAGCATTCATTTCACACCACTCTTTGTGACCCGCCAAGAACAAGCTGAGAGAAATATTACAACACATGACTCACGGTTTCATTGTTGCCAGTAGAACCCCTCGACCACACAGACCAACTTTAAAAAAAACTTTCGAAAACTTCGCGAGAAAAAAACAATATTGTGACTTTTACCTTAAGTTACTATAGTTGAAGTGCGTCTATTACTAGACCCCTTTCAAAAGTTAGCGGCAACGTCTATCCTCTATTGCTTAATCACACTCTGAGTACAGATTGGACACGAGCGCTACGTCATCGCTCGGTGAGGACTTGGATTCAATCACGCGCTTCCTTGTCCAAGGATGAATGGATGAATGCTAACGGCTGCACTCTTTAAATCTGACGGCAGCTTGCGCCGCCGTGCCTAAAGTGCTTGAGACAATGGCGACCGCCAATGTTGCCTGGTGAACTTTTGAAAAGAGTCTATTCTGAGGCAAATTATAGAGTGTTTAAAAATTTCGCCGAAACTGCCTTATAAGGTCCTGTTGAGACGAAATACATGTACGTCACTCGTAAAATCAAAAGCATTCAAACTAAAGGCTAGCTCACAGTACCTTTCTCTTACGTCCCTTTAGTTATGGGCGGCTTACGTCTGCTTACGCTGCGAGTCACCGGGCATGCGAGCTTCGCATAAAGCGTGGCAACAAACCCAAGAAGTAACTTTGCACGCAGCATACGGAGCATGGATGTATCGAATACTCATGACATAACGTAAGAAAACGTGTAAATGGGTCTTTATTTCCTGGTCATTTACTGCGAATTCATGACGCGCTGTTTTAATACATGCCAACCTCACGCCGTCAACGTTTTAATCTAACTTGTTTTTCTATCGGGGCTCGAAGGCATCACAGAGAGGAGTGCAATACTGTAACACAGATGTAAAAGTAAAACTAATACTAACGCAAAAATATAATATTCCAACGAAACATTCTTTACACAAATTAGTAATTGCAATATTAAACTTAGCAAGCTTTAGTAATTGTAGCTGTATAACTTGGGAAAGACGATTCCAGTCAGTCGGGTTTCGGGGCAAGGAGAAGTAGATGTGCTGTATCGGGGTTATCCTACATTTTAATTAATCATTGGTTTATGATGACGTGTAAGATGCTTGTGAAAATAACGAATGGCGTAACAAACGTGACTTTGCGCATCAAACAACCTTTGCCTTCTTTGAAGACAACGGAATTCTGACTATCTGTAAATGTGAGGTAAGGCTTTGGATATTCCGTCATAATAAAGAGAAATTGACCCGACGAGTAATCTCGTAGATGACGATTCGTTTCGCGATAAGCGAAGAATACAACAAGGGGAAGCAAATACTATAAAGTTGTCTCTCCGGTTCTTTTTCAAGGAAGCATTCCACAAATATCTGAAGTGCAAGCCCTACTCAGGCCTCGTTCTAAAATTCACTCAATCTTACTCCAGGGTAAGGGTTTTGAACCTTGGCGCTCTAAAACCTACCCGCGTCCAGCGCTTTTCAATTTGTGTTGTCACGTGACACGACCCGCCGAAGGAAACTCGGATTCATTTGGGTAAGATTTGGAACACAGCCGCAATAAGATATGCGTCACGTACCTCAAAAAGTCCATAGATTTCTCAAGAATAAGTGATTTAGGCTCCTTTTTTTTCTGATCCTTCTTGGTTCGTAAATTATATATAAGAAAATTCCGCATGTCGTTTATTCCAAGTTGAAGTCGGTTGAATATTGTTGCTTGCTTGTCTTGAGACTCTGAAAAAGAAAAAAAAAGAGCTGATAGGAATAACAAATGTAACTCGCTTTCTATTTCTTGTTACACTTTAGGGGTTCGGTAAGCATTCATAGATCACGAAGAAGTAACTCTCAGATAAATACTGATATTGCCACGAGGAAGAAAACACAGGCTGTAGCAGGTGCCGTGGCGGCGTCATCGGTGCCTGGGGCGTGCCGTTCGGAAAAAGCAACAACCGCCATTTAGTAGACGCCAGTCTCTTCTCCCAATTATCGTAACAATATTTAAAAGTAAAAAAAGTGTTCATCGCGCAGTAATAATTAAAACCTGAGCGCGCCCGTGCAGTCTGAAATAAGGTTACGTTCAATCCCTCGCCAACAAATGACAGACCTTCGTATACAAACACGCAAATGCGTGCGCGATGAACGCAGATGGATACACTTCCACCGAGGCACGCCACGCATGCACGCACACGGTACAGAACCAAGTGAACGCTCACACAGGCCGCCGTCGCTAATAGATGGCGGTAGCTGTCCAGAGTTTTGTGTCGAGATTTGTTTGCCCACGGACACGATACTAGAGAAGCTAGCTCTTAACAGCTCCGTTGTAAAAACACGCATACTTGAACACGCATACACATTTAGATGCGATGCGCGCGTGTATAGACAAATGCAGACGCAGATACTTCCCCCGCAGGCGACTCACATACATACAAAAACAGACACATAAGGGCAAGAAAACATGCGCCTTCTTGAGCACATGAACGCCTAAAAAAGCAAGGGTTTGCTTTTTTACATACACAGACACCAACTTACTTTACACACATAAAAACAAACATAAAACCGCTGACACTCAGAAACACGCGCGTTCAAACCCAGCTATGCAAGAACAAACTTACAAAACAGGACCATCAAACACACACACACTTGTGTGCGTTTGTGGATGCCCTCACAAGCACACGCATACCAAACCGACTCACCGACTCACTTACATACGCACACAGGTGTGCGAACACACTTTTACAAATATATCGATACAAACAAGAGCCTACAAATACAACAAACACAGACTACTCGCTCTGAACACGTCACATTCAGGAAACACGGTGGCGACAGCAACTCAACAAGTTCACCGAAAGTTGGTCAACTTTGTTCTTGGCCGCCCTGTTGCCCGACAAACCTGTCACACCGCAGGAACGTCAGCACAACGCAGGCGCCAGCAACAATGTAGTCTTGGTGCACACCGAGACAACTTTCGGCAACAAAAACAGCTGCAACTCGTGTTGGACGACGGATTATGCCCAGATCGGCGGCGGAGCTAATGTTGTGCCGTCAACACGAAAACACGGATGACATCGATGGCAGACATCACTATCAATAACATGGTTTGTTTAAGCGCTTACTTAAGTTATTGGAAAACGCTATTTAACAATAATTAGGGTTGGCGCGCAGCTAAAATAGTTTCATGACTGTTTTTACTGCATAATTACGGGAAGTGATTGTCGCACCGGTCACAGCTAGGGCTGTGAACGCTAAGACGGTTGTTGAAATTAGAACTGCCGTGACCAGCTTACATTACTCCTAGTGAAATAAAATGGCATGCCTATACTCACACCTTGATACAATTTAATAAAAATCACGTACGAAAGCAAGCGATTAAAAAAATCGAAGCATGAAGACCACTATTTTGATTATGATTGTTGATGCTTGGAACTTGAAAACATCCGCTGTTAGATACCCGAATAGTTTCAAAAATCCCCAGGCCATTTTGGTGAATTAAACGATCACATAGCAGACGGTAAACGCAACTAGACAGGGTTGAAAAATATTTATTCCACCGGTCGTTATAAAAGACGACAGTCTCGTAGTTTTTAAGCACCTCAGTTGAGCTAAACAGCAAGCCATAAAGGACACTTTGGGGTACTGCCGGTGCTAATTTAATATTACACCAGAAATAGGAATCGCATGAAAGGCAGAACCCGGACAGAAACACTATACGGTGGCGTAAATCACGACCATAGCAGCGATCTCATCTTCCTCGGTTAGGGCTGGCTGCTTCGTCAGAGAACGAGGAGCATTTCGATAAAGTAGAGAGTGGAAATTTCGTCAAATTTTTTAATCACAGTAACTGGTTGATGTCGTTCCGTGGTAATTTCCAGCCGTGGAATGCACTAGCACTTTGTAAAGTCATATTTCCTGCGCCGCCGCGCCACGAACGAAGGTTCGAATGTAAACAATCAAGATGGCGGAGAGTTCCCCGTGTTGCCCACGCATTCAGCGCCATATGTGACAGGTTGTTCTCCAACTGCCGGACAACAAATCGGCGAACACAGTTACAGGGCGACAAAAGCGCGTTTCCTGATAGTTGCTCAGAACCAAGACTGCTTCGCGATCTTGGTTCTGAGCGGCGGATTATATCTTGCTGCTGCAAGAAGTAGCCGGGACAAAGCCGTTCCAGGACTGCAACGCGTAGCACCAGGAAAAAAAAAAAGTTTGCAATCCTTGTTGCTCTGACCGAAGGATGCGGCCTTCTGCTCGGCCGCTTTGTCGTGAGGACAGAACAAACCAAAGAAGCGAGCGAGCAGGCGGATATGAGGGATTTCTGTGGCGTTTCGTTTTCAATGAACAACGACACAACAAAAGAATTACGGTTGTTGTAATTTATTTTTGAAAATTTCTCTAGATGGCTTTGGCGCTTGACTCATATCGGAATAGCGTGGACAGATTG